TGATTTCCAATGCTGACATTTTACTTCAGAGCAAGGTAAATGCATCGTGATACCTGGGTGTACTGGGACGGGTTGATTTAATTCTCTCCTTCTTATGATGCAGATTTATTTCAACTGGGACCCTTTGAAATCCTCCAAATCCAAATTCCTCCTTATTCTTTCACAACGAATATTTACATTTTTGACACAAAATGGAACAGCTCCATTAGAGGAAGACAACCACCACAAATATTTAGCATTACCACCAGGGAACATTTAAAGAGCAAAAAATTACAGGCCAAAACCCTACAGGTACATGAGGAAGCTGAACCTCTGGGAGACCTTCCACATTTTCTGCAACTGGGTAGCACAGTGTATTTCATGTTTTGTCAACCTAGAGCCAATTTTTGTTCCAACTATAAATAGCCATAAATTTGAACCAAATATGATGAACAGTTTTAGGGTGACCAAAGCACTTTCTTTTGCAAGCAATCAACTGCCTACCCTTACCTAATGGCCCCGCTTCCAGTGAGGAAACCCTTCAAAAAGTATTGACAGGACGAGTTACCCTTTCCTGCACTCACTGTAACACTGTCAGTTTGTTATGTTCCCCAGAAGAAATTGTTATGTGCCTTCAAAAGTAATGGTGACTTTCAAAATGATCCATTTCAAAAGCAAGATGTTAATTTTCATTCACAGAATTACTTCTTTGAGAATTTACTTCCTTCTTTCATTTGTGTTCCAAGAGAAACTTAAATCTAAGTTTAGTTTATTTCCTTCCAGTTACACTTTTTATCTGGATTCTGAGAGGATTTTTTGCCTTAGAGAATATGTACTTGGCTCTGGGGTTTTATTTTGATGTATAATGAAATCAAAGGTGGAGGCAACAGATCCCTGAACAGGAACCAGAGTCAAGTATCAGGAATTGTTTCTCTGTGTAATGCAGAAAAAAAAAAAGTTTATTACTATTGAGTTTCAGGGATCAGCACACATAGCAGGACTCTTCAATTTTTTCTGGTGTTTGCACAAAAAAAATAGTCCCATATAACAGGAGGTAGAACTCTTTCTTTTCTATTCCAACGACCACATTAGAGAGCCCAGTTAAAACATTCCTTGACACAGTCAAACCTTGGCTTTCCTCTGAAGCATAAACATGACCATGTTTAACCTAGTCCTCGAGTCAGATGATTGGAGTGCACCGCATAAAACTGTGGTCTGGTTCAAGGACACTGCTAAAGCACAGCGATGCTGGGTGACTACTGCCCTGAACAAACAGCTCCTCTTTCAACCACTCACTGTGCGAGAAAACTGCGCTGGAGAGCCGTTTTCTTTCCGTTCACTCCAGCTACTATTCTACATTTTCTTTCTCTCCCCTCAACAGGCACCCGTGTCAAAACAAATTACCCTTTCTTTTTACTCAAAGAATCATTTCTGTTTGCCCCCACGCATATGAAAGACTTCAACATCAAAAACGTTTGCACACAAGAAATTTCATTTTCTCCCACTTTAAACATTAAGGGTTTTCCTCCTGCTTCTGAACTACAAAAAATAAATAGTAATAAAAATCAAATCTATTGTAGTTACTGATGACAACTGTCTAAACAGCCAGACTAGTTATAAACAGTCAGTGATGACAGACTACATGTGTTAAGCTTCCCATTATCGTGCCAGAAAACATTATAATCATCTTAATTATAGCAACAGTGATTTCTTCCCCTTAGTGGCGATGTAAAGCAAGAAAGTGCAACTTCTTCTGTTCTGTAGTGTATTACTGCCTATAGCAAAGGCCAGCATATACACATATTGTTAAGCATTTGTGCAAACAGATCAAGTTGCCAAGTATGCAGCTAACCTAAACGGTCTCAAAAGGGGGAAAGAACACAAACTTTACCTTGTGTGTTTTGTTGAAATATTTTGTTCAAATCCAAAGAGGAAGCTCTGGAATGTGATTTCTGTGGCCTTGGAGGTGGAGTAGGGGGCTCTTCTCCCTTTTTCATGGCATCTTCTATTGATGTGCTAGAATAAGACCTAAGGAAAAACAGGGGAGGGAGGGGAGCAGAAAATATTTTATTTCAGAAATTCATTTTAAACAGCTACAGTGAAGAGTACCTAAAAATACTCTGACCAGAACTCAGATTCATGGCAGAAATTCCTTGCCCCAATGACTAAAAGTTCCTCCTTATAAGAAGAGCAACTTATTTGGCAACAGAGGGACCTATGTGTCTAGAGAAAGGAACAAGTCATGCTTATAGGGCTAGTATTTTTTAAGGCCTTTTATATCACAGCTTCAGGCCTTCTTACATAACATTAACTGTCAACAGGATAATTGCAGCAACTATTTTGAATAAACCTAAGTAAAATTACAGCCCCCCAGCCCCTCACAGTTTCTGTTGCCTTTCCCAACTGCGAGGGTAGTGTTTATACAGGTATAGCTTCAACCTACCTCTTGCAAGTACATACTCTATAATTTAAATTTATTCTAATAGTTAGAATATTATTTCATAGCAAACAGTCACCAAATTCCACAAAAACCAGAAAAAACAAATGGCTCCAAAGTAACCAAAACTAGCCAAATACATGGCTCAGTACGTCTTTCCAGGCCCTTCCACATCACATTAATCCCAGTGCAGCGCATTTTCTAAGAATATTGTTTTTTGCTGAACAGTGTCCAGTATTTTTCAGCTGTTGCAGTTACCAGTTTTTCTGCAAGGCTGAGAGCTTTGTTCAAAATGAGCATTGACAATGTGAGATGTTACACTTACTATAACACATTATGCATGACAGGCAAGACCAAAAACACATTCAAGTAGAACAGAAATAACTCCCGCTAATGGGAAACGGATCATTTTTTTGCCAAACAGGCTGTTGTTAGAAAACAGCTCTTTAGCGGGACAGACATTTGGCAACGCTGATCCTATGTTTCTGATATAAACTTTAATAAATACAGGAGTGAAAGCCATAATTGCTTCCAAATTTGCATGCGACACAAAAACCTCTGCTGATGCTGAATTTTGTGTCTTGGTAGAGTTTTGAATTCCATAGCCTTACCATAACAGACCTAACCCAACCCCCCTGAAATAAATGGGAAAGCTCTGAATCAGGATCTTTGAATCAGGTTTTATACTTTTACTTTCCAGATTAGGCATTGTATATTTTACTTGCATTAAAACTGTACAGCCTAACACTTTGAGAGTTTTAATTTTTTTTTTTTAAAGATCAAGATAGCAGCTACCAGGCAAAAATAGGTCCCCCCCAGCAGTGCCACCACAGAGCCCCGTGACAGTGAATCATTGCTTGCAGCAGGTGGACCTGGCACTTAAAAGAGTTAAGAGTTAAGCAGGTAAGAATTTGCACAGCTCAGACTAGAAAGCCAGGCTCCAGAGCTGAGAGCTGTAACAGACTCGAATCGTAGCCTCTGGTGGTCAGGCACACCTGAAGACAGCGACCCTCGAGGTTACAGGGCCCTCCAGGCTAGACAGCACAAACGCAGCAAAAGGTCTGAGTTTAAGGATGTGCTCAGGCATCTTTAGTCTCAATTTCCGCATTAAGGTAGTGACATATAGTCAGATGTGACACAGTCATATGTGACACTAGTCACACTCAAGTGACTTTTTTCAAACTTGTTTAAGAGTTTGCTATTTTGTGCATTTTTGCATAAAATATTTTTACAATTTTTTGCATAAAATAATTTTTTACACACATTTTGCATATTCTCAATTTATAGGTCAGCAACACAGCAAGAAAATTTAAAACAGTGTGAAAACTAAAAAGCTTTGTCTAGCTAACAGAAAAATAGCACACAAAGCAGTTCAGCCTTCCTGGATACAGGTCCTAAGAACAGAGAATTTCAGTCTTCATTCATCATGCTTATAGCTGATCCTCTCTTATTAGCAGGCTTGACAAGTTTGTAAGGAGGGAGTTACTGATTATACTCTCATTACCTAAGAAAAAAGAAATTAGACCCTCCAACTGGCACCAAAAAAAAAAAAAATTTTTGAAGGTGAATGCACGATATGGCTATACACCAGAATGGTGAACAGCCAAACCCAACATATAATCCATTTATACACGGTATTTTCTGGCACAGGCTTCCCTTTTCTTTCAAACATCCAAATTTAGCAGGTGTCATTTCTAGTGCACAACAGCATCAGTCCTTCCATCACACACCAACCAGCCAAAGTCAAACAAAAGGACTCGCTCACCCACATCTGAGAGTTGAGCTACTATTGCTGTTTCTGTGGGAGCGTGCAGTGTCTCCCTCCATATGCAACCACTGTGCAGGTTTCAACAGCACAAAATTGCTGAGGACGTTCCCTACAATTGAGCGGTCCCCGCTGCCCCACCACGACGCCTCTGGGGCAGGGCTGGAAGCAGTCACCACCCCGACAAGGCAGTGAGGCTGGGCAGAGAGGCAAAAGTCCCAGCACCTTAGGACCAGAGATCACAGGGCCCTAGAGCAGTATTTGTGTAGGGTCTATTGCTTACAAATCCCTCCTGGTAAACCTGTCATCAAGGATGAATAGAAATGAAAGCAGTACCTGGATCGTGGTCTGGCTTTAAGTGCATTAGGTTCCTGAGCAGCTGAAAGAGAGAAGAAAAAAGAACCGCTAAAACAACGTATTTTAAATAAACGCCTTTAGCTGAAGGATCAGTGTTTGCTTAAATTGTGAGTGTTGCAAATGTCGATGTGAGAGTGCGCTCATCTCACATGAGCAATGAGGATTGATTTTCACTTCTCCTTCCCCTTTGTTTTTGTAGTGTGTGAATGTCCTAAGAATTCAAAAGCCTGCGTGTCAGACCTTCAACTCTTAATTTGGTTACCAGAACACAGGAAAAGCAATAGGTCTGAGCTCGCACCTGTACTCCTGGATGTAGTTGGGACAAAGCAACATAAGGAATAGCATAAACTTTCCACAGAAAACATCTTACTCTTACTCCAGGTATATATTAGTTGTCTTGCTTCCCAAAGCACGAAGGGAATATTAAATGCTTCCTAAATACTTTAACTAATTAGTATAAACGTACATCATCTTACCACAAAAAATTAACACATCAAGTTGAGGCTACTTTGACATTGGAAAGGAAAGGTATTTGAAGATAAAAAGCTTTACAGGCTAAGTGTTCATCAAACACATTTCTATCAATGTAAAAATCTGTTTCTTTTATTTGGATGAATTCCAAATATCCTGCCACACGCAGGTTTTATGTGACAGGAAAACAGCAGCGCTGACTTACCTCCTCTGGGTAATTCCTTGAGGCTGTTCCTTGGTTTACACAGTTTTTTTGTGACTTTTCTGTTACTCTCCTTATTAACATCAGATAATTTTGTGAAAACATATCTGAGTGACTGCTTTCAAATTCAGCCCACTGAGATATCCCGAAGGTACTACAGCAGCATCAATGACCCCAATGCACACAAAAAGTACATCCTTGTGCTTTTCCCATTATTCTCCTAATCAAGGTTCAACACTTAAGAGAAGCAAGTAGGCTGGGAACAAAAATTCTCAGTTTACAGCTTCCTTCAAATATATGCCTATTCTGAAGTCAGACATTTACCACCAGCTACTATGCAGTACTACCTGAAAATAAGAAAGATACTCCAAAACACAGAGTAGGAGTTACCTGTGGTAGCAGCTGGCAAATACTGACTTTATAATGGCTTGCACGGTACTATGGCACAGACCCTCCGTAGGAGGCTTAAGGCTCACAGAAGACAAGCAGCAGCATATGGCACATGTATAGCCACACACTATTTCTTCATAAAAGAAACTGCTTTTAAGGTCGTGCAGTTCTAATTGGTGCTTTGGATGGAATAAACCCAAATGTAGCTGGCAGTGACACAAAAAAATACTTATAAACCAAGTTCCAGTAGATTATTGTCACCACCAAACTGGCTCACAGTCATTCCAGATGTCTGTGCAACAAACTCTTCCTAGCAACTAAAGGGGAGAGAAGGAATTATAATTAAAATATGCAGTAGTGATAATCCTTCTCTCTTCTCTCTCTCTCTGTGTCAAACTCCCAGAGAATACAACTTTAGAAACTGCTTCCCTACAGCCATATGACCCAATTTTTCCAATGCTGAAAATTGCTGATTATTAAATTACATGCACAATTACTAAAAATATGCCACTTAGAAATAGGAAGTATAAATCCTTTTCAAGCTAAGCTATGTTTAAGAAGCTTCAAATTTTCCTTCTTTTATGGAGACCGTCATTCTATTCGTACTTCTTTTACAAAGCCTTTCTTCTAAAAACCTGCAGGTAAAACTCACATTAAAACTCTCTGAGGACATCTTGTTGAGGTAAACAGGAAAGCACAAAAGGAAGAGAGAATCCCAAAATGACTACTAATAAAAAATGATAGCAATGGAATACTACTGCCAAGGATTTTCTTTTAAGCTTTTGAAAAATCAGGAAATTCAAGGTTACAATTACACAATACCCAGATTTAGCTTTATCTTTCAGAAGAAGTATAATATGAAAAATTATTATAAAGCCAGTAGTTCATTATTAGAACATAAAAATAATTGTGACAGGATTTCCATAAAATGTGCAGTTATTTTGGTATGCTCATGTCTGTGCATACTTTGTGTTTGAGGTGCAGGTTTATATACACACATGACAATCATTGAACACGATACAAAACTATTTATCCAGTTCATTAATTTTCCATATTTATATTGCTACGGATACATAAATTTAACTTACATGAAACGGACAGAAAATTACAGCTCTTGAGTGAATTAATTACATTTATTATTTAAAAGTTTGTATGATTCCTGGAGTAGTAGTGCCTGATGAACTGAACAGCTTGGTCTACACTAATTAAAGTCATATATGATTATGAAATCTTATTTATTCATTCACGCCACAGAAGAGTGGCGTGAATGAAGAGAAGAAGTTCCCCATTTTGTATGTTTAACTGCTCCCACCCCTCTCTCCCAATACAACTTCATTTAAACACTCCTAAGGAAGCAGGCACTGTGACCTTGGGCTGTAGCCTGACAGCTTATACTCAACTGGTGCCTCCTTGCTTTACAAGGTGATTATCGAGTAGAAAACTGTACCATAAAATGTGCAAATAAGCTACGCTGCTAAGCAAAAAACAAAGAATTCCCTTCTAGTTTAAATCACCTGCACTGACTTATCTGTTACCTCTTATTGGAGACCTAGGCAGAAATGTACAATTTGAACACGTACATTTGGCCCTTAATCCTTTAAATGTCTAAGGCCAACAATGATCTTGCTCTTAGGATCCTAAATAAACTGGCCAGATATTCGGAGATGCTGAGCATATAACATTTTTTCTGACTTCAAATTTCTAGTCTTCCTGATGAGGAGAAAGAAAACTTTCCCGTTACGCACCACCGCAGTATCATCTTTCCTGAATTTACATACAGAGCCCAAATCAATAACCAAAGAAGGATGTAAAACCTCCCACGCTTCATCCCAAGGGAGTTTTCATCCTGAAGGTTAATGACTACAATGACCTTCCAGAATGATGACTGATTCCAAAATAACCAATTTCTGTGCTGTATCCAGCCCATGGCATAGATAAACATTTTTACTTCTAACATCCATCATATCATGCAGCCTGAGACTGTGGTTGCTCAAACCCTCAATGTGCAGGACAGCGCGGGTGAAATCCCTACAGTGACAGGAGTCATGGCGTGAAACTCTGCCACCGTCTCCCTTGGTAGCCAAACACAGCAATGCTGCTGGAGGAGCACAGCAGCATCGGGAAGACCTCTCTGACTAGGAGATGAAGGACATGGGGAAAAAAGGTTGGTGGCAAAGGAGATGTGCAGGTGACAGTAGGTTTTTTTCCTAAGTGTACCGAAGGTGGAATTGCTGAACTGAAAATAAAACTCCCTGGGGCGCTCCTGGGCAAAACAAGCGGGGAGAACAGAACTGAAAGTCTTGCAACCAGCCTCCTCTCCCCCTGAGAGGGAAGCATAAGAGTGCATGTCTGTGAAGGAGAAGCAGCAATCATTTGAGAATAGGAGCTGAAGATAGGAAATCTGGCAGCTGCCAAGTGTTTGGGAAGAAGCCAGGAAAAAAAAAGTTGGGAAATGAGGCATGCAGCTGTTGAGCAGCCATGAATAAATCGAGCTTTAAGACAAAACTGCTATGACAGACATCTGGGGTCAGTTTTCTTCATCAAGGATATCTTCACAAGTAAAAACTTTTATGCAAAAGGAAAAGAAAGCAAGTCCAGTTTAGCTTGACTGGCACCAGGAATGGCTTGCAAACACTCTTACCACTCCGGGAAAGAATTAGCAGCGAGGAAGGCAAGGGAGGTCTGATGAACTGAAAGCATGGGAAGTTTCTGGAGGAACTAAGTAATTTTGACATACGCTGTTCCAGAAATAACATTTTCCAGTATGATAGGAACAAGGAGTGTATGTTGGAGTTGGCGAGAGAAAAATCAGAGGTGGTTTCAACAAAGAAAGAGCCCCAGAGCCAAAAGCTTATGTCAGTGCTATAGGTGCATCAAGGTCTGTTTTTCCAAAAGGCTACCTACCCTTAAATTCCCTGACAGAAAATATGAAAGCTCAGTTTTCACAAAGAAACAGGCCATTTCAGAATAGTTACTGAAACATTACATAGTTACTCTATACCTTCAAAGAGGTTTTACCAAGAGGTACAATATTCATGCTCTTGCAACTTGTTTGTAGCACAGAAAAACTTCAGACTCCTTAAAAAATACTATGCTAAAAACATTTCTCACAGCTGAAGAACACATACACTAACAATGAGGGAGAGCAAGCAAGAAAACTTTTTAACAACCTGAAGTATAATTAATATTTATTTTGCAAGTAGTAGTCATTCTGAGGTAAAAGTTAATTTCAGTAGTAAAATTGTAGGAGAGCAAAAGTATCTTTAAAAAAATGGATCAAATTACACTAATTTAGGCTTACTGTGATATAAAAACATTTGACTGAAATTCCAGTGGAAGTAATACATTACATTTTTTTCTTCTTACCTGTTTTCACAGTCAAGTGCTGAAATTCCTTTGGTACTGTTTTGAGAGCAGTGCTTACTTTAAGAGCTTAATAAATAAAAACAAAACAAAACAAAACAATGAGAATTACTTTAAGTATGTGCAGGTAAAATCTACAGGCATCAGCTCTGAGAAAGGAGCATACAAACCGGTGTTAGTTAGAACAACTAATAACACCAAACATACTTGAAAAGAAAGGTAGCCAAATACCCTCAGAAGACCCAAGCACTCAAAAAAGTAGCAATTCCTAAGAGCACAAAAGTCACAAGCAGAAAGGCTTATTGCCCAAGTTGCCAAATAATGTCAAGTTTTGAGAATCTGGGGGGTTGAGCGCCTAAAACCAAGGACGACGTCTGTTTGAGAGATGTAGTGCTCTGACAGAGACAGCGGCTGGCGGCACTTGGCAGAGCTGGGACTCACCTCTCCCAGGTTACAAACCTGGAAAGCCAGGGCACACGAGAGGCTGGCTGCTTCTGGCAACTGAAACCTCACCAGCCTGCCCCAGGGAATGTCACACGGCACCGACACAGCCGGGGTTAAAGTTTAGGAAACCCCAATCTTTGTGCTTATTCCCCTTCCACTGACGCCTACGTTACCCTTTAAGAACGCCTTAAGAAAGTCATTAATAATGCACAACAGCATGTTTTAAGGTACTGTAACACACAGTATTCTAAATGACCACTTGGAATGAAGTCTCTCATCTCCACCTACCTTTATCAAATAAAACGTGTGGCAAAAGTCTGGGTCTCGTGATCCAGTTCTATTCACATTACCTTCCACATTTAACTATATTATAACCTGGCAGAGTGGAGCAAATTTACTTGTAGAGTTTTGAAAATGCAGGGAAATTTGCTTCTACAGTCCTGAACTACAGGTTCTTCACTTCTGGGGAGAACTCCTCAGCCAGGAGCACAATCTGCTCTTACGTTTGTCAGAATAGCAATAAATGGTAGAACAAGAGCATTTGTTCTTTGGCTGAAAAGGTAGGAATCTGTGTCATAAACATAGCAGATCTTCAGCCCTGAAGGACTGCATGTACCAAACCAGCTTCCCATCTGACTTAACATGTCAGCTACAAAAAGCAAAGCACAAGTTCTTCACCTCAACAGAGAAGAAAAAAATTGCCTTAGTAAAAAGTAAATCTTCCCTAGACATTTCAAAGGAATGACCTTCCAGGTTCAAGTTCTGCTCTGGTTCGTTATGAATTTTACAACAAAACAAACCTTGTCAATAAAACATTAATTTCTTGGAATATGCTGACTTGTCAAAATGTTTTACACAAACACCCGTCAACACTGACAACCTTTCTTTGAACCATGGACACTGGGAATCTGCCAAACTTGGTCACACCTGAGTGTAGAAGGTGATTCAGGAATGTGGACTACCCGGTCTCACAGCTCTGATGCAACCTTAAGATGTGGACAGCTGGGAGGTCAATATTTTTTTTTTTGTAATTAATGTATAATCCACAGCTCTGAAAATCAGGCAACAAAATACCCAAAACTGTTTTGTTTCCACAACTGAGAGACAGCGAGAACCTGAAAGGTTGGGAAAAGGGAATATAAAAGGGAATGAATGATTGTGTGATGATCCAGTGCCAATTCTGGAAGCCCTAGAAGCTACTGAGTGGAAAAAGAACAAGAACATTTCAATTTCACATGGCTTGCTGCTGATGGTTTTCAGGTGAAATAAATTAATCAAGTATTTTCAATCCAGTTTGATCAAAACTTCTGTTTTGCAAGAAAATATAGGGATTTTTTTTTTTTAATAGGAATAAAAGCTAATTTTGAAGTGTTGCTATTTCCTGAAAAAAGGGAAATCCAAAATTTGGCACAATGTAGTCTTTACTCTTACAAAATTCCCAACAATAACAATTACAACTTCATTAAAATAAGAAATGCGACATTAATTGCCTTAGGACTAGACATATTTGAGAAGGTGCATTTCATATCATTCATATACAACAGAACTAATTTTGAAGCAAACCCATCCATTTGTCTTTAACTCAGCTGCTGTCAATGAGCTGTCTCTTTAAATCTACAGCAACACATAGCCAGCTTAGAAATAAACATACCATTGCTTTTGCCAGCAAATATATGGGATTACTAAAAACACACAGAATTTAACCCATAATGGGAAAAAACAAAAGTTATTTGAATACCTTGTTTGTCATCTTGCTTTCCATCTTGTAACAGGGCAGAGTTATCAGGTACCTCTTCAGCTGATGTCTTCTTAAAGAAAGAAGATTTATTTATTACACTGATTGGTATAGCTCACACCTTTCCACACTCAAATATTTAAGAATACAGATCAAGACAAATAAAGGTGGTATTCTCTCTTGCACTACGATTTGCTTTGTCAGACAAAGAAGCATACAGGACCTACAGAGAGACAATATAACTCTGCTTTTCAAGGTACAGCCGTTCCACACCTGAAATTAGAGAAGCACTTCAATGATGAATCACAAGGAGCTAAGGACTATATGCCAGGAGAGACTTCTACAATAGAGCAATGCCATTCTGTGTTTTCTCTTCTCTATGGGTGTTACACCTGTATTAGGGTTAAGGCAACCTTCTCCAACCCCTTCACAAGGGTCAGCCTCCATCAGACCAGTCTCTCTAGCCAAAACTCCAGCCGTATTGCAGAACCCAGTAGTTCTGCATTTGAAGTCTTCTGTCTGAGGTGGCTGATCCTTGAACTACTCTTTTCTCTCAACATTCAGTCATCGAGATGGGAAAAACAAATTTCATTAGCCTGTCTGTTGGAGGCCTATTCAGGCCTCTGATGGGAAAACAGTGAACTTCTCCCCAGTCTTATTCCTTAACCTTCCTTTATTTCAGTAGCAACTTATAGACATTTGTTGTTCTTGTAACTTCTGCTGCATAGCTCACAAGAAGGAACCAGGAACAAATTCTGCCTCCATTATCTCTAAGAACAAGGATACACTCTGCAACCAAAACAACAATAAAGCTAATGTTAGAAACCCCAAGCTTCTCTAAATATTAAGTGACGCTGGTTCTTGCTCAGGGAGCATGGAAGAGGTTGGAGCTAAAAATGGCCTGAAATCCACTGGGCCTAAAAAAATTAATTCAGAAACATAGATTTTGTAGACATTTAAAACAAAAAAAAACCCCACCAACAAAAATCTAAAGTCAGTAATTCAAGAAGGACAAGTCCAGAACAAAGGGCTACAAGATCAGTTTTATGAAGTTGCACATGGGATTCCCTAATGCTTCTGAGGAAGCAACACAGCAAAAATATGGCTTGAGGACTCTGAAAATGTATGAACAAAACATTTCACATCTATAGCTAGCCCTGACACTCTAAAGTAAAGGGTGTCAGACTAAAGACCTAATTCAGTGCGTGCTTGAAATGATGGAATGACTCTCACAAATTTCAATGAACTGTGAGCATGACATTTCTGAGGGAGTTTAGAGCAACTCCAACCAGTCATTTTATGCACATAGTGTGAAATCTCGTGTTTTATCTTTAAGCTTTTGGCAGCGAGAAAGCTTGTAAAAAAAAGCCAAAGGAATGGATCAAAACCAAAACAAAACAGAAAGACCAGAACCAGAGTGGGAGACAAAAACTTGAGAAAAAACAAATGGGAAGACAAAACCTCCTTGGTTAACAAAAAGCAGTCACCCTTGTCATTCTCAAGCATAACATTAGCAGTCTGTGTGTTTTGTAAGTTTAACAAAGCCTAGCATTCAGGTGACCTGTCTCCTGCCATTATTTTCTTTATGGTTGCATTCAAGAACTGTTTCCATTGTATTGCAGTACTGTTGTTCAGCAGTCACAGTAAAAATGGTCTTCTGAAATTAAACTAAACAGCCTGAATAGATGACAGGTGGAAAGAGACAAAGACATGGAGATAATGCATAATTGATTGCATCGATAATATAAAATTTTTAATGTAGTGATCAAGTATCTAAACTATATTTCCTCAAGTAGCCAAGCTACAAATTAAATTGCAACAGTGAATTACTGGACTTCCCACAGAGGGAGATGAATGGGAGATGAATTACTGACCTTCCAAATGATATTCATTTCAGTGTATTGATTCTGAATGTAAAATCATCACTTGAACACACACAAAAAAAACACACCACCAAAAATTTCAAGTCAAAATCATTCTCAAATCAGTTTTGAGAAGAGATTTTATAGTCCATTAATCTTGGATAACAAAGGACCAAAATAACAAGGCCCTGAAACAAACTCATTGAGAGCTTTGCCCTGCATGTCTAGGACTCAGGCAGTGAAGAAATGGAGCAAAACCAGTCAGGAAACACTATCTGTGCTTAGCCACCAGACAATCATGCTACAGATTCCTCTTCATTTTCAACCTAGCCATAAAAAAACTCCGATTTTGCAGAACATCCAGCCACCTTGCAGAACCCAGGAATGGAGTAGAAGATCCAGCTGTTCCCCCAAGAACATTATCTGACTACAAAGGCAGCACAATAATCTGCAAGTTATTGGCAGTTATGGTGGTCTCAGGAGGAGAGCGCAGAGATAAGGCAGAGGAGGTCTGAAAGCTTAACTGCTGAAAATCAAACTAAAAATGAAACATAAAATGGGGGATTTGTTGCTTGCTGGGGTTTTTTACATTTGGTATATACCTTCTACAGCTATATACCTATATACCTTCTACAGCTATAATTATTACTATAATATTCCTACTATTATCTCCACTGCAGCAGAAAAATCTAAAAAGCAAAAAAACATACAATTTAATTGCCTAGGAAATCATCTCCTTCTAGATTTATCCTTACTCTGCACACACAATCAAGGACCCCAAACCAGAAGGGCCTGAAAACCACACATTTAGTAAGATTATAAAATTGTATTGGTTAGGTTATTGAAATGACATTTTATTTTTAAAAAACACAAGATGATTCTGATAGCAAGATTTCTGAGCTTTCTGAAATATATAACAGAACATTCTAATCTCACAGTCCCAAAGGCTGAGCTACTAAAGAGCAAACTTCCTCACAGCTCTGCAATACCCAAAGGCCACTTTGCATATCTGGGTAATCACTTCTGAAGCCAGTATCCTAACAAAAACAAGGGCTCCCTAGACCACAGAGATACTGAAGTAGATCCTGAAGTCAAGAAGTTACATAAACTGAAGGTTTTTAATTACATCTATAAAAGATACATAATTATACATTTATTTATATTTTAATATAATTTAATATTATCCCTCTATGTTTTTTTATATATGCATGTGTATTTGTATATGCACACGAAAACACAAGTGAAAAAGAGAAGCTGACAATCAGTGGTCTTGCCTACCGACAAAAAACCTTCTAAGAGATATGTGACAGCTTTTAAGCAGAAGACAAGTAATTCTCTCTAAAAGAGAGTATCTTAAGCTGATGTAGTGAGATAACTGAAATACTCAGTTGAGTCTTACTGCAGTCTGGAAATGGAGTTATGTATATATGTACGTACACACGCTGACATCAGCGAATGAGTTTTCAATGCAAATTGCTTTGAATTTTTGGTTTAAATTGCAAACCAATATGCATATATGGTAATGAGGAACACTCCCATGGGACTGTTGAGTTTTGCCACACAACCACACAATGAAGAAGTGCTAGCGCAGTGTGGCCTGTGACGCAATCTCGCAGCCCCCTGCGAGCCACCCTCCCAAAATAAGGTCATATGCAAGGGACAAAGCCATTCTGCTATGGTAAAGGTCCTGCCTACACTGCCAACGTACCAGCAGCCCGCACTACCAGCACAGTAGTGCTGCTTTCAAAATCCAGGACGACTGCTGTACTTCGGCAAAGCTGCTGTACAAACAGCAATGCCACACAGGGAGACCACATATATTTTGAGAGCTCCAGAAGACAAACGGGATGGTCAAAGCGTTGGCTGCAGCATTGCCCAAAGTGAACACTGCACTCTGTAGCAGCTTAGGAGTGGTACCAGTACTGAGCTGAATGCGATGGGGAGAACAGCTGGGTTCTGACCCAGTACAAGGCATAGGGAGGAAATAACTGGAGAACAGACATGCTGAGCTGCCGTGACATACCATTACTTTTTAACTTGGAAGCAGCATCAGAAAGGCCCATTCTTACAGTCAGTCAGAATCTGCCATTTGATTCACTACCTTAAATACTAAAGCCTGAAATCCCACAGCGTAGGAGCACAAGTCTTATGAGGAGCGGCTGAGGGCACTGGGATTGTTTAGTCTGGAGAAAAGGAGGCTGAGGGGAGACCTCATCGCTCTCTACAACTACCTAAAAGGGGGTTGTGGCGACGAGGGTGTTGGTCTCTTCTCCCAAGTAACTAGTGATAGGACAAGAGGAAATGGCCTCAAGTTGTGCCTGGGGAGGTTTAGATTGGATATTAGGAAAAACTTCTTCACCGAGAGAGTGGTCAAGCATTGGAACAGGCTGCCCAGGGAGGTGGTGGAGTCACCATCTCTGGAAGTATTCAAAAACCATGTGGCTGTGGTGCTTCAGGACATGGTTTAGGGGACATGGTGGCACTGGATTAATGGTTGGACTTGATGATCTTGAAGGTCCTTTCCAACCTTAGTGATTCTGTGATTCTGTATATATTTAGAGCTGCAATATTCAGGCACAACTCAGTGGCCATGGTAAGCTCAGCTTTACAGGATCTTTAAAGTTTCAGTTTTTAACCTCAGTGATAAACTCTTCTCCTTAATTTAGTTTTGCTTGCAACAGTCTTCCATTACAAGGCTGGTAGCTGTTGCGATAATGCTCCAATAGATCTCCAGTCTTCCCTCAAAACACTCTTCACAGCTCCTTACAATTACTACCTAGACCATTTGATGGTAGTTCCTTAGACTATGAAAAGGCTGGATATTAAAATGGAGACCAAATCACTTAGAACTATGCATGTCCCTACTATACAGAATCTGAGATAGTTTCAGCCTCCAAAGAAGCAAAGTACAAGGAATCAGCACAAGCCATTTTTCCTCTCATCATCAAAACTGGGGGAGCGAGTGTGGAAATGAAGCACTGTAAATGGAAGAAACCCTCAAGAGCTACACAGTCAGGACAAGGTCTGCACCTGAACATTGTCAACCAATTCAGATTCAGGACGTATTTCACCTGAGCACTATCCTTGTGCCACACTGCTCCTCCTGCAGCATGGGCTCTGCCCCTCATCACTGGCTCCCAACGCCAGAGGGCCAAACGCAGTCCTGCGGGACACGAACAGGTAAGGTGTATTTCTCTGCAGACTCAAAGATCGCACAAGGCTGGAGTCCCTCGATGACTACTGTGTACTCTGTTATGTGGGAATATCTTTTGAAAAGCCTGTCAGCCCTTCCCACACACTGAAGAAACTGCTGAGAGGGGTTTGAGATTGCTTAATGGGAAGCTTAGGGACTCCTGCAGTCCTCTCAAAGACTCACAGCTCTGCTGCCATGCATACCACAGTCATTGTGAAGCTGGCCTATTCCTCTGCACCCTGCAAGGTAACTACCCTGCTTAAACCTTCTCACCTCCGTCCGACTGAAGTCCCGAGTCTGCTGACCGCCTGGCAACGACTCAGAATAAGAATCAAATAGTGCACAGTCACGCATGGGCTTCAAAGAAGCTGCAGGGGAAAGAAAAAACAAGACGACATGCCAAGGCTTTGGTTAATACACCCTTCTTAAAAACCTGTTCCAGCATCATTTTGCCCTTCATTTCTATGTATCAGAACTGATCTATAAGCCACGGATGACAAACACCATGAAGAAAATCTTTCTATCTTTTATTTTGAGTAAGTCAATGTCATGAAAGGGATAGCATGTATAATTTATGTTGTAGAAATAATTGTGAAATTTGGGAGAAGTGATTCTCAGTAAACATTAACTGTCAAATAACAACCAAATAAACAGTAAGCATATGAGGCACTTGCTTACTTATAGAATCATAGAATCTTTGGGTTGAAAGGGTCCTTCATTTCAGCAGTTGATAAAACCAGGGGTCTATGCTTTCTTGTGATTCACGGTGTGACAGTGTGTTGAGATGTTCTGCTTTTTATTAACGCAAGTCTTTCAAAAGACAGATTTCTGAATCCTGACTAGGTAGCAGAACGAGTGTGAGACATTTTCAGACCCTCAAGCTAACCACAATTAGCATATCATGTGAGATATTTAGAGTGCCTATAGTAAACAATTAGTCCTTTCACCTCTTGGTTGCATGCAACACCATGAAACAATAATCACCTAAGAAAATGGTAAAGACCCCAGTGCTGAAAGGGAAAAATTAGGAAAAAAGAGGACTCCCAAGGAACAACCACAGCTTACCATGCTCTTCCTCCCTCTGACATAATGACTCCCTACTACTAAAGATAGTTATTTCCATTGCAGTTTTACCCAAAAAGGCTTAATGTGAATATACATCAACCATCAACAAAAACCCGCACTGTGCATGGAGGAGGTTACAAGCTAATTTATCATGAGAAGAGGTGTGAGAGTGGTGAACAAAGTGGTGGTCCTGGAGGGAAAAGGGTAGTTGTAATTATGACAAGGGAATGTAATTAGAGAGACTAAAAGTGGTGAAGACTTGGAAGTGAAGGTTTTACAGGAGCTTCTCCCTTTGGATATGAAGATAGTGGATTATAATAAACATGACTCCACCAGAAAATACTTCACAAATCTGATACAAGGTGAACATTTAATTTTCCTAACTGCAGCTTGATTTGCTCTTTTTCTGTCTTTTAATATATTCAGTGTCATCAAATTTAATGGAGATTTTATTAGGTCTTAAATATTATCCCTTAGCACTGTAATTATCATCTGTGATTAATCCTCCTTGCCCTAGAAAGTCATGCACATTTTTTAGATGGAACAGTATGTATTTCAATGTTCATTCATAATTAAGAGAGACATAACTGAAGAGAACAAATGAAAGGGCAGGTCTCTCACTGCACATTGTTACTGAGGTATATTATATTTTGGATTAATTCATCCTTGTGCTACACAAACAGTTGTAATCCTCCTGTCATTACTGCAAATTACTTACAGAAGAGTCTGTGGATTACATAAAATGAATTACAAAAAAATTCAACCTTTGATACAACCGGTAACTGCATCTAACAAAATGTGTTAGTATAGTAAGTTCTAAAGCAGTCCAGTATCATTTTCAACACATCTTCAAGAAACAGATGCTTGAGGGAAAAACCATCAAAAGAGTTAAAAATTGTATAAAACTTGTTGGATTATCTTTGCTACAGGTAATCACCTGCCACTTTAGCTATAATGACACCTGAAGCACACTGAAGCAAAGAGGCAGACATTAAGAGGCAGGTAACTGCTACACTTTGCATTGGTATTTTGTGCTTTTATACATTCCTCCTCCAGCAATCGCCTCGTAAGCACAATTAAAACCGTATATGTTAAAAAGCAACTGGAGATCCATTACGCAGTGTAGAACCCCGTCCCACCTTAAGGATGGAAAATGAAAGCTGTCTTACACGCACATTGGGTTCCTGAGGCAGCTACAGGAACATGACCTGCCGCAGGGACATTACCTGCTTGAAAGTATTCGGGCAGCAGCGTCTCCGGCAGTGTCTCCGGCAGCTGGTAACCATTCTTCCTCGCAACCACGAGGTGGAAAGCAGCACAAAACTCCGGGAGCGTCAGCGCCCCATCGCAATCCACATCACTCAGCTCCCTGTGGATACAACAGGCACACGTTTTCCAAGCCGTTACCTCAGGGAAACATACGTGTGCATGGGGGAGACAGAAATGCAACTCTTGAGAAGGGATATTTTAACACAAGACAAGCATCTCTGTCATTTGCACTTGATCCTAACTTGTGCATTTGTCTTGGGGAAGACAAAGCAAGTTAATTTTCGAATACTGAATTGTCCCTTTTTTCTTTTTTAATAAAGTACTTTTTTTGTTATACATCATACCATACAATATGATGGTACGTCTATATTATAACATGAAATACATATCCTGTACTTCCAAGGGTAAAATTAACTTTCCAATGGTTGGAAGCACTTTTGGCCAATCCATGCAGAATCTTGAAACAGTTCAAGCAGAAAAAGTTAAAAATGGACTTCAGCAATGGTTACGTAGCACCATTGCCTAGCTTCAAGAAAAGAGCTAAATTAATGCTCTTGACAAGTTTAAATGTTATTGTTAACTTCTCACTAAAGCAGTTCTCTCTTTAATTCTAGGATGCTTTTCAAACACTAAAACTGGACTTCAGAAATTAAAAAATTCAATTTTATAAATTAACTCTTTGCAAGAATTGAGTAGTATTTCATCATGAGCACATGGACCAAAACAAATAAACATATAACTGCCTACTCTTTGAAAGCAATGAGCATTTTTCAAGCTGTTGAGGTTATAGTGATAGACAAACATCCCATGTGCTTAACACAGCAACACAACCTGGTAAATCACATCATCACAAAATTATAATTATCTACTAGAAAGGAATACTTTTAAATTCTGCAGAGGACAACTTCTGTCAGCAATAGAAATAAAATGTGTTTTGTTAACATATTGGGTTAATCCATTCTTCTTAAGTAACCTTAAATTTAAATTCCAATATTCACTTCCCCCAACACTATGTTTCTTCAGTTGTTTGTTTGTTTTTTTGTTTTTTTGGGTTTTGTTTTTTTTTTTCACAACTGACAATCTGCTTTGAAAAGATTCCAGATATATTTGACCCCGACAGATGTTTAGGCTCTTGCAAGCTTTTCTTCTCATGTCTCTTCATAAAAGCATATATAAAAGTAAAACCTCTATCAGCATTTCTGATCAATGTTTAAAACTGTTTGTTCTTCCTATCTGAGATGCAAGGATGAGACTGAATTACAAAGCACCATGCTGTTGATGAAAATGTAATAGAAACCTTGTCAAATTTTATCATGTACAGTTCCATGCACAGTTGTTTCTAAGTAAGCTTATTAAAAGTGAGTGTACCGGTTCATTAGAAAAGCACTGATGAATTATGTAGTTGTACTTCCTAAAAATGAGGCATTAATTAGGCCTCCTCTGACAAAACACAGCCAGAAACATGAAACCAACAACACATCTGAAACATTCCAGAGGTGCTTCTCCTCTGTGTCATTTAATGAAAAATGTCAGTTCGTTGAGCTAATGATGCTGCTTACAATATACTTAAGAACAGCTCTCAGTTATATCACTGTTCAAACCTTCCCAGTCCTGCTGTGTAGGCGAACAACTCTCCAGAAAACAAGCATGTCAGGAAGATCAATGAGCACCCTGCTGCTTGGGCTTGAAAGTGATTCTGGAGATAAAAGCAATAATTGTAAGTGAAGACACTTTTCAAAATTTTACAAGAACTCTTGAATTAAAGCATCTTTTTAAAAAAAACAGGATACACGTCCCCAACACCACACCGTTACAGTACTTACCAGATGTGAGAAAGCTCTGGGATGGGCAGCTTTGATTTTGTGAAGAAATTCTTTGCCACAGAACCTGTTGGGAAACCATGCCTTATCAACCATGGGAAATTAATTCTCCCATTATTTACCTTTGGCCAGGGCTGCTGTGCCAGAAGCAGCTGGTTACTTTGCATACGAGAGGCGCTCAGATTAACTGGATGCTGATATAGCTGTTGGACCATTTGTCTCTTTGTGAATAAGTGACAGAGAAAGCCAGACAGAGCTGTTGACCTCATTTCCCTGTTCCCTCCATATGGGAAAAATAAATAAAAGAAACCATGCTTCAGGACTAGTGATTCTAACCAGCATAATTAGTATGTCACCAATGATGAAATAGCAGACACAAACGGCTCTGCTTCCCCCAGAAGCCATGTGTGTGGCAGTACAGAGCTGTAGCGTCTGCACTGCTGTCCCAAGATGCCGCTTCAACCATGACTGTTCGCTGCAGTGGCTCAAATGTTACGAAAAAAAAGAAAAAACCCAGGAGATTCAGATAGCACACAGCCACTGGCCTGCTGCAGGCATCCTCACTCCCTCTGCCACAGCAGCCCTTCCCACTCTTCTCCTAGCTAGTAAATCCATTATTTCACTATCCCATACACACAGACTTATGTAACTGGGGCAGGTCCAAGAGTCACCTAGCAGCATGTCCTCTCCAACCCTGGATGCCAAGAGGACTATGTGACCATGACAAAGCTATGTAACAGTAATGTACCTCCAACCTCTGACTACCTATGATTCAGGAACCTTCTCAACCAGGGGTAGCACTTAAAGATTCAATAACTTCTGACAGATTTTTCAATCACAGATTTCTCAAAAACCTTCTTAAACGTGGACAAACCTCTAGCATCTGTATCACTCTGCAGCAAGGATTTCTACAGCTTAATTTTCTTAGGATGTTGTGGAAGTTCAAATTTATCATTTATAAACTTTATAAATTCATAAATAAATTTATAATGTATAAAATTTATAGATTTTGGATGTGCAAGGACTGCCCGAGAATCTTGCTCAACATAAAGGAAAATGCACAGCTACCTGAGAGGCTGTATATGCATATATACACACGTACACATTTACAGACATATAAAGGTCTGCGAGGAAATACAACGTTGTTGAAGAACCATTTTCTCTTTCAAGCAAATTATATGAAGGAGACTTAACTGAGGCAAAGAACTGCTGAAGCACTAACTTCTGTCAGCAGCAGGTAATTTATTTAAACTTTTGGCTGGGTCCAAGCCTCCTGAACCCCACTACTACAGCAGAGCTCAGTAAAAACACCTCAGTTTAAAACCTGTGATGTTTTTCTTGCCAGACCAACCATCTGTACCTGCAGTGACTCCTCTCACAAGCAGCCTGATTCTCCTATCAGAATGGAAATGCAATTTCAACACGCTGCTAGCAACACTTTTACCATGTGTGTGCTCTCCAGTATTTGCTTTTAATCACCTAAAGGTCAAAATCTCAGCCCCCTCAAAGCCATAAACACTCAGGCTTGACCACACAGGACAGTTAACTGTACGCTTCACTTTCATTACATGGACGCTGCCACATTTCTGCTGGGAAAGCAAGCACAAGTCTGAAGAATTTTTCAGCTGAATATACACTGCAGGTGTGAACCACAAATACAGTCCCTCAGAGTGAGAGCTCATTTTCATTTTTACTGAATGCCAACACCTCTCTTTCAGATGTAACTATTTTCCTAAAATCAGGATATTTAGGAAAAAACATAATACCCACAATACTGGTTTGCTCTTTGAGTTGTCTGCCTTTAAAAAGAAGACGTGATCAACCCTTTCTCATACACTCACTCCACAGAGGAAAAACAATTAATTTATCTACTTTACACTTCTCAGCCAGGCCCCTCTACTCAACATGCACATTGCTGGGTAAAACCCACCTGAAATAAAGGAGTTCAGGTCAGGCTGCAGGGACCTGAACTGGTTGATGTAGTAGTCTCGCTGCTCCTCTGTTATCCTCCAAGGGTCATCCGAGTAGTGAGCGCTGCTGTCCTGCTGCTCCCGCTCCACTGAAAGAGACTGAAGGGAGGGACATTGGCATCGGCCACAGGCGGGGGCCAGAAGGACCAAGTGGGGCCCTGGTAACCTCAAGAAACCAGATTCACTCTCTTCTATTAGCAGACACGTAGTACTTTAAAAAGGTGAGAAGCAGAAATGGCCACGTTGATTACCATCCCACTACTTCTCTGTTAAAGCTGAAGCTAATATTAGGTATCTTTACCCAAGCAATTAAAGGAAGTTTTACATGACCAAAGCTGAAAGAATACTGCTGGCCGCAAAAAGGAAAGCCCAAGACATACTTCAGTACCTCTGGATCTGTTTTGGCTGTTCATTTTGGCTGCCACTGCATTACAAGCCTGAACTGCACACTGTACACCTGAAACGGATGGAACCAGTAAAGGACCTAAAGCTGTATTTATACAGCATGGTGCATGAAAAGTTTAGCTCTGCTAAGAAACTATGTGTTTAGTCTAGGAGTGTTGCTGTAACTATGAGCTATATTGCTTCTGGACCCTCAGCTCACGCAAGTAACTCGGCACACATTACGCTGAGCCAGGGAGACATGCAAAGCCCTAAGAGACCTCCTTGACCCTCTGTCACTTTTCATGGTTTAGGTAAAAATTCTCCTGCAGGAAAAAAAATATTCTGGAGGAGAAGGACATTTTATCCATTTATATCTTTGGTTTCTGATTGACTTGTTTAAGGAAGGTCTTATGTTTGGTAGGTTGGGTTGGTGGTGTCTAGAAAAGGGCTGTCGGTACAATTATTGTCTCTGTTAAACTGGAACAACTTAGTATTTAAGATGCTTTAGGCCTGGATGACAACACTCTTAAAGAGGGAGGGCAAGACTGAACAATAACCAGGCTCCAACCAGCTCCACAAACCTTTCTCTGACATACCTGTCCATTTCCTAGAGAACCAAACACAACACACTGATTCTGAAATACATCAAAAATCCCTGAAACAGGCAACGTCATAAAGCTGTAAATTAATTTTCATTTCAAAGTGCTGAACAAATGCACCCAATTTCCTTTCAAGTTAACACAAATTATGTGACACTACCTGTAGATCTTTTCCTGAGGCTCAGGTGACATTCTGTTATGGGTGTGGGGTGCTAAGCATCAGGGAAAAGGTACAGAGTCTCTGGGACTTACTTACTTAGGTAAAGTTCCCCTTTTTGAGAGCTTTGTCCTTCCTTAGGGCAAACTACCTGTTTGCATAATAAGTGCACAGCAGCCACACTGGAACATCAGAAAGATTTGCTTTTGCAACCAGCAGGAAAACACAGGACCCATCTCATAAAAGCAAACAAATGCCCAGAAATTCATTTATTCTGTTTGGCATGTGATTTAACCAACTGGGGTGAAAAAAAAGAATATGCAGAATATTAGGCCATAAACTCTGTGCATGTGTTAAAGATGGCATTCTGAATCAAGCAGAAATCTCTCTAAAACCTTATATACTTTAAATGAAAATGTTTTACTTTTGCTAAGATAGCCTCAATTTTTTTTTTTTTTGAACTGAAGATTCTCAGTCTAATTTTCCTACATATACTATTTGGTCTTTCTCATTCTACTCAGCTTCAGCAATTTAATTAATTGGATTATTTATTTTCATTTCTCCTTCCCATCAGTTGTTTTTTTCTTTTTTATGTACTAAAAAAGCATGCTTCAGCCTTTAGTTTAAAAACCACCATGAAGAACACTTTTTACTTTTGAAGCGAGAATTCTTCTGCCTTTTTTTTTTTAATTCTCTATTGTTTTATTAGTAGTACTACTAAAGAAAAACATGCAATCAATTACCCGATTAAGAGTTGAACAGGCGAGTGCAGGTTTGACTCCATAATTCCCCGATGATGGTCCATCTTGCTGTTGAGTAGTGTGTCTCGCTTCATAAGGAGCTACAGACATTTAAAGTAAAGTATATAAATGAAAGGATAATCAAAAAGATTCTACTAGGCTAAAGGAAATCATTAAATACCACAAGGTCAAGAATCAAACTTGTGAACCTACTATCACAGTATCAAAGTCCACTTTGTCAAGCACCAATCAAGTGAACCTAGTATCACAGTAGCAAAGCCCATTTTGTCTTCTGCAACAAATTCCAGCCACGTACTTGTCTTTCACATTACATCATTCTTCTTCAGACATTACTGATAGAAACTGTCAGTTATATGTTACTAGATAACAAAAATCATTGTTCATCATGTTGAGATATATATTTATATAGCCTGTTTACATATTTATAGAATTTATGTACTTATAGCTATATATAGTAAAAGAATGCATTACAAGTAAGAAGAAATAATTCAACTGAGCTGCAAAAAAAATGCTTTGACAATGATATAAAAAAATAAATCACTAATTTTCCATATACTCTTCTTCCCCTTCCCTAATCTCTGTTGAAAATCAAAATGCATAACTCACTGTTTCACATTATTTGGTGTAAAGTTAGTAAAGAAAAGTAATAACTACTACTTCTTTTGCAAAAATAAGTCACTTACATTCCACTGCAGCAAATATAGTAAGCAGTGACATAACAGCACGTTTGAGAACAATGTTTTAAAAATAGGCCAAGTATGCAAACACAAAGGCAACTCACTTGCAAACCCTTCCAGAACTGAGAACTGCTGCTGCCAGCCTTTTTAAAATGTAACACTACAAATACAGTCTGCATTAGATATACAGAACTTAAAAGACTCTTGATGAAAAGTAAGACCAAGAAATCTTAAAACTTTTGAGTTCAGGAAGACCTTAAAAATTATACTCCTAACCCCCTTCCTTTCCTAAGTACTCTTATCCTGCATTGGTATCTATTTTTATTCCTGTACAAGTAACTTCTAATTTCAGAAAAAAGGAAAAAAAAAAAACAACACAGGAAGGAAGTTGGGAAATACACAGAAGCCCTTGGAGAGAAAACTTAAGCACAAGGCCACTCTGCTATGTGTTTGCTAGCAAGAAAAACTTCCAAAACTATCAAGGAGAAATGAGTATATGGCTGCCCTTGACAACACGCTGTCCAGTCTCAGGGTCAGACGTGCAGTACAGAAGAGCCCACCCAGCTCAGTGCCGGGGCGCTAGCCCCTCCTGCGCCTACGCTAGCGCAGCAGCCTTCAGACCTACCCTTTCGAGTGCTCTTCAGAAAACTGGAAGGTTCCTTATCTTAAAGGCTGGGAAGAACCAGGAGGTCACCTAGTCTGGCACTTGGTACAGCACCGCGCCATAAAATGTTACCCGCTTACTGCCACTGAGAACACACTTGGCTGAGGTACCCCCAGTGGGATTAAAATAGGAGAGATTCCCTTTCTGGAAAACAGAAGAAATTCCCTTTCTGGAAAAAGAAACATAGTCTTCCTCACCTTTAGGATTTTATCACCTTGAAAATTCACGCAGTTGAATAATTAATTGTAGAACACATTGACAGCTGGTTTGGACACTGCTGCCTCTACTCACCTTGCACAGCCGCTCACTCCATGAGAAATTTCACTGGCTATGACTGCAACCAAATTCAGAGGGAAAAAAGAACACTCAAAATACCCCCCCTAAAGCACTGACAGATCTGGGACAGAGTCCCAGAAAACAGCAGAGCACACAACAGGTAACACAGTCGGCTGGTCCCAACAGCCACCTCCTGCCCAGCTCTTCAGGGTGTGGGCTATTGGCCACATCTTCCTCTCTGGAGTAGAACATAAGTCGTACCAGAAGACAACCTCACTAATGTTGCTTATTTCAGAAGTCAATCATCACTGTTTTGATCAGTTATGTCAAGGGTAGGGTGGGTAAAAATCCCATCTCTGAACAAACAGCAGTTTACCTAAGTGGCAAATGAATGCCCGTGACTCAGTACTGGTATGATTTTCACATGAAGGCCACCTGATAGTGTTAAACACATTCTTATCACAGCTGTAGTGAGTTTCAAAATGTTGTAATACCTCTGTTTTTTCACTCATTTGTAAATGACGACAACAGCTAAAGGACTAGCATGCGCCACTCCTCACTGCAAACACGCTGAGAGCAGGAGGGATGACAGAGGGATGGTATACACCAGTGCCTACCACTGCCATCATCTTGGTCACCAGATGTTGCAATTAGGAGAACACAGGCAACTTACTATTAACAAGAGCTTGTAAAGCCTTAGTAAAATTGGCTTCTGCCCCACTATGCTCTTACTAAAATCAGAATGTTTTGCTACCCACTCTAACAGCAGTGAGATTAAGGACAGAACGTCTATGTAGTGCCTTATTTTTGTCTGTTTTGCATAAGTTACATTGTGGGACTGTTTTTATATTCATGTCCTATTGTTATTTCCATTACGAAACCAGAGATGATATTATCCTTTCCTGCAAAGGAAGGTTCACTGCCAATCTTAAAAACTAATATAGCAACTACTGAAATCAAGAGTAGGCTTTTTTTCCTCTCTAACGAAACTGAAAGCATCATGTACTCTGAAAATACTCACAAACACTGTCACATACTGCACATAGTCTTGTCAGAGATTAGGTATTAGCGTCCACCTGTGAGAGGTAACACATAAATCTAACTAATTTACCAGAAAGTGAACAGGATTTAACAATCCAAATAAAATTAGATGATTGAATCATTTTCCAAAATACAGGTCTAAATAAACACTAAAATCATTAGGCTGATTGTCAGCTGCATTTGAAATCTGGATGCTTCTGAGAAGGAAAAAAAAAATAATTGACTACAATGTGCACATCCCAATTTTTATCCTACCTCCATGCTGCTGCTCCAGCCCACTTCTTGATTTACCATATCCATAACTTAAGGGTATTCTCTGGTAAGTAGATGGAGAAGCAGGAGGTGAGCAGATTGGAGACATCGGTGGAGACTTGGGTTCCTATTTCAAAAACACACCAACACAAAATAGAACCCTGAGATGACAGCAAAACAATGAAGTAATCCTGCATGGTAATCTGAGCACATACAGCATGATGGCCCAAGAAAAGGCAAACGCTGTAGTGCCCCAAGGTCATTGATTTCCAAGAAAAGGCTCCTTAAAAAACAAGAGGTGGTAAAGACAGAATTTGGTATTGAGCCTTCTAGGGGTAAAGCATGGCAATGCCATAGCAAAGTTTGACAATGAACAGCTTAAGGTATTTTACTTCCAAAATATGCCTGAAGAAGTGTATATAGAATGCTTAATGTGAGTGGGTATCTTTGAATTTACATAACACATTTAGCTAGGGTGAGTGCATTCTTTGTGGGAGACCCTTTTTCACATAAAACACTTACAAAAAATTAAAATAAATCTCCAAATTGCTATTTTAAGCACTCATTGGATCTGTAGGTGTTACTGGGTACCTACCCTACAGCACTCTCTTCACCTTGACTTACAGATTGTTTAAGAAGAGGATGTGATCCTGAAACAGTTTACTGCGTAAAAAGAAAAATACCACAGATGATAACCTAGATGGAGCCAGGGGTTTGAGGTCAGCATTCTACTTCAGTGTCAGTACACACAGGCAGATAGGAATACATGCTCTTCTTCCTCATCCTGTTATTCCACTCGTGTACCTTGTCATCAGCTCATTTCTGTTGGTTGACCTCAAGCTGGGAACGCCGTTACTCATGCCAACACACTGTGTGATAAATGTGCGCACACGCTATGGGAAGATAAAGCACCTGCCATCAGGCATTTACAACGTGACCTGATACGGTACCAGAAGAGAAGGTGTCAGGCCTGGGGAAGATTATGAAAATCAAGGTTGTGCTGTGAAGCCACCTGTATCTGAGTAAGCACTCTCAACTCTCCTAACCACAGTTAATACAAATCTCCCTTAGACAGCTTTATTAAACTGGCAACTCAGAACAGGAGGCACTGGGGTGATGTTTCACTGAGGACAAAAGAAAAGCAGATTTCTTCTGGACTACTCCTGGGTGCGGGGTAGGAATGGAAGAAAACCTGGTGGCCTCATCCCACCCAGAAATAGTGGCTCATGACTCAACACATCCTCTCCAACTGAATATTCCTGTAGTGACTAAGGATTGTACTGGCCATGGGAAATCGATCGCTTCCCTGTTCTGTTTCACAGACAGATTTCTATTTGCTGCTCCTCCCCTAGTCCTCTCCAAGAAACAGCACTGGACTAAGGAGGAGGACAACACTGAAAGAACTTATACAGAATATTATAGGGCTGGCAGCTTTATACAAGCTCATACAAAGAAATTCCCTTCAGGGATGCAACTGGGATGCATCAAAATCAGAGTACAGGCCCACTAGGGATTATTTGCACACCAGGAGTTCATTCCCTGTCTAGCACTGCAAAACTGAGTAAACCCACATGAGCGTAATCATTTATGGGACTGAACCCAAAAGGAGGATGCATAACAAAATACTGGCCTGAAGGACAGGGGCCTGTTACCTGTTTGTCCCCTTCATCTGTTCTCTTGTAGGAGTTTTTTTCCAAAGTTGCATGTGGAACCTGAAGTTTAACTCCATGGAGTTCTGCTGGAGTCCCATAACGTACTTCACTGTCATTTTTCAGCGCCATAAACCGTGGCAGAGGTAATTCTTTATTAAAAAAGAGAAAAATTCAATTGAAACTACAGACCATTAAAAGTACTTTAAGCAGTATCATCTTGTAAAAACAATGAAAAGTTTATCTATAAAGGAGTACTATTTATATTTTGTGACATTTATAAGTGTGGAATTTGTGATTATTTCATGTCTTAACAAAAATGTGAATGTTACACATTCACTAACTTAATACATAATCTCTCCATGCAAATAAAAAGAAATAAGCCTTGTGCATGTTATTAAAGCAAGTGGCAAACTCGTTTCCTGCCTTCAAAACGTCTGTCATGAAAAGAATGGTTTCACACAGAAACTATGGGACTGATGAATTAATCAGTCAGGATCACAGTATTCTCAACGCTGCCATCATAAAAGGAACAAATTAAAAATGCTGCAGTTCAGAGATCATGCCAAGGCCTGGTGAGACGACCGTGTCAAAAGGTCCCATGACATGTCTGCTCTGCAGAGCATAAGAGTGACATTTCGTCACTCTTTAAGATGGTTCACAATTATTTTGAAGACATTTATTTTTGTGCACAGTCACCCTGAAAGATCAATACAACTAAAATTAACAGAATGCTCAAAACTGAGGAAAGCCATATATCACCTCTGTAATCATTTACACCTACAGCTACCACCAGGAAGAAAAAGAAATCAATTGGAGTTTGGTACCTGTTACTCACACAAATCTAAAGGCACTCATACATTTCAAGAGAAAATGCAATTAACACTGGAAGCATTTCAGTAAGTAAGTAGGATATCAATACAAGGACTGCGAGTGCCCTTTTTCACTCAAATTTGTGGATTATTTGCAGATGCTGGACTTCTAGAACACACACACACAGTAAATCTCAGTTCAGGTTTCTAATTTCATTTGTTCGGTTTTGGTGGTTTTTTTTCAAATTAACATCCTTAAAAAGGTCCGCAATGCAAGACAGAGTGCACAAGCTGTCGATAAGGACAACTGCCGGACAAAGCCAGTCTGCCCCGCTTCACCCCTGGTTTAAACTCCCCGGCCAGCAAGGCACCAAACCCAACCACGCTAGCTGCATCCATTCCCCTCCACTTGGTCGGGAGCTCTGCACCGCAGGAGCTCGGCTCACACAGGTCTGCACATGCTTGCCAGCCCAGCTTGCCCCCCAGGACAGGGTAGACCTGGGAAGCCCTTCCCTGTCCCTTGTAACGTGGGTTAATTTTACATTTCATAGAATCGTAAAACAATTTGGGTTGGAAGGGACCTTTAAAGGTCATCTAGTCCAACCCCCTGCAATGAGCAGGGACATCAGAAATAGTGTGGTCAGCAGGACTAGGGAAGTGATCATGCCCCTGTACTCGGCACTGGTGAGGCCGCACCTTGAATACTGTGTTCAATTTTGGGCCCCTCACTACAAGAAGGACATTGAGTTGCTAGAGTGTATCCAGAGAAGGGCAATGAAGCTGATGAGGGGTCTGGAGAACAAGTCTTCTGAGGAGCGGCTGAGGGAACTGGGCTTGTTCAGTCTGGAGAAGAGGAGGCTGAGAGGAGACCTTATCGCTCTCTACAACTACCTGAAAGCGGTTGTGGCAAGGTTGGTGTTGGTCTCTTCTCCCAAGTAACTAGTGATAGGACAAGAGGAAATGGCCTCAAGTTGTGCCAGGGGAGGCTTAGACTAGACAGTAGGAAAAATGTCTTTACTGAGAGAGTGGTC